AGAGAGAGAGAGAGAGAGAGAGAGAGAGAGAGAGAGTATGAGGTTATGTTCTTATCGTGGCAGATAAGTAAAAAAACAATGCAAATCACTTCTGTTCTCACGGTGCGCTTCATTTAAATGACACGAGCAACACGAACAAGAAACTTGATCTCCCATCAAGTTCATTAACGATGATAAATCTAAACGTAAAGCCACTCAAGAGAATCATCTTATGCAGTACAGCGAACAACGACAATAACTCATATCTAAAGCATGCACTTTCGTTCCTCAAGTCTTGTTAGATCACCACCTGTGATCAGTAAGTTGCTCCATCAGTTGGATCAATGCACTTTACCTTATAGACATTTTCCGTAATGCGGTGGACCTCGTCGGTGCGAGACATAGTGAAATCTTCAGTTAAAACCATAAACGGTGCTTTGCTGAACGTGATGGGTTATCCGAACAGTGTGTGTGATGAGGGTCAGCTGCAGATCCGCGCTCTGATCCACAGGCGTCTGATCTCAGCTCAACATAACCGAGCGGAGGCATTGGAATGGAGGAGGGGCTTACAAGCGTAGCACCGCCCCGTGTTCTACCTCGCGCCCTGGGGGCGTGGCTACGTTCCACCTGCGCCCGCCTCCTCCCGGACGTAAATTGTCTAACAGCCACTGGACATGCATCTTCAATGTTTTTTCATTGTTTTATGTGTCAGGTTTAGCTACGTTATATGTAAGAAACGGCAGAAAACAGGTTAATTTCCAGGTTTTCCAAGGCCGTGAGAGCCAGAAGAAAAACCTTTATAATTCTGAACCACCCCTTTAAATACCAATGCTACAGGCTACTTTATAGTTGTGTGTTAGGTTGCAATGAAAAAGATACTTGGCTAAAGTGTTGTAGCAATTGGGTTCACTTTTTGCATTTAAAAATGAAAATAAAAACAGTGCCGGTTACTAGTGCCACATAACAGAGCTCATAGTTCATAGGTTGTTAATTTATTTTAACAAAACCAAATATTAATTGATGTGAACTGTCATTTAAGCTTCTAGCTAACTTACCCACTTACCTAACAACAGTTGATTTTACATTAAGAAAATACTGTAAACTCTGTAACAGCATTTCAATTCTACATGGTTTGACCACCTTGTTCATGACATTTCAAGTGGTTTATATAATTACTTTCAAAAGTAAATGTTTTAAATATAATTTTAAATATGTTACAAGTATAATTGCAATATAAAAAACATTATAGCCAATTACAATCAATGAACAAGAAATTTCCATTACTTTTTTCTTGACCATGACTCCATTACTTTTTTTTTTAAGTCTGAAAAATCACAAATGTAAAATTCCCTGACATTTCTAAGTTTTCCATAACCTTGTGAACACTGATTCTGATGCATGCCTATTAAATATCCTATGAAAGCCTTCTTTTCTGCCAATTATATTCCCCTAGCTCTTCCTTTCATTCAAAACAGAGTGATGAGCCAGGTTGTAGGATCGAACACTACGCTGCCAGCATCTCTCGCTCCGGCTTGATTTGTGCCTCTTTTCTTTCTGCAAAGACAGAGCACAAAGCGAGTGACAGAAAGCAATCAAAAGCCAAATAAGAGAGCCATGTCATTCTCTCACACAGTGCTGTGTTTGACAATACTAAAACAACACCTGTCTCCCCCGTAGGCACCACTGGCAATGGATCTGTGGGTAATTCTGGAAGTGTGATGTCTTCTCCCTGCCCAGGATGGAGAGAATAGCCTTAGATTAGAAACAGGCTATGCACTAGCAGCGAGTGATATCTGGCAGCATGGACGACAGGTAAAGGTCTCCACACCTGAATGATGGCCTCTAGCTCTGCTAACACAGCATCCTCATCCTCCAGTGTCAAAGAACCTGCCAGCAGTTCATCAATTTGCTTTAAGGGAAGACGTTTCAAGAAGCAGTTAGACATTCAAAGCAATAAAAACCAGGAAAGAGCAGTATGGCCAATGTCCAGGACTTGCATTTCCCAAAAGCATCGTAAGCATAAGTAGATTGTAGAACCATTGCCACCAATAGTTGCAACAATCAACTTAGCTCACACTGCTTTTGAGAAACGCAGCCCAGGACTATAATAGAAGGAAGGGAAGTTTGAACTGAACACAATTTTCTGAATAGTGAAAAATCATTATTAGACCTGCTTTTGCAGTGGCTTCATAAACCATTTGGACACTTAAGACACGCTTAAACATTTATGAATTTTATTCTTTTTTCAGATCTAACTTCACTTTTTGCAATGACTTTTTTAGTGGATATGTCAACCAAGGCTGCATTTATTTGATTAAAAATATAGTAAAAAACCTAATACTGTGAAACATTATTACAATTTAAATAACTATAAATATGCTGATTTGCTGCTCAAGAAACATTTCTTATTATTCTCAATGTTGAAAATAGTTGTGCTCCTTTTCACTTTCTGAGAGTGGACTGTCACTTTTAATCAATTTAATGCATCCTGGCTGAATAAAAATATTAATTTCTTAACTGACCTCAAACTTTGCATATAACATTAACTATAGACATGTTATACATGTACATGCTTGTGCTCTTTCTTCAATATAAATGCCACCTGGTTTTGTTTCATTGTGTTATGTAATGCAATGACTTTCATTAATTTCTAAGTGTTTTAAGTCTATTTAGCATAGCTCTGAATGTTAAGTGGACTGAATTTGACTCTCATAACCTTCTGATACTCAATGGCCTCCTGCGTCTCCTCCAGTATTCTCTCCACCTCCTCAATAGACACGACCTGATGAAGAAAAACAGAAAAAAAAATACTTCATTCAAATGCTCACTCAGTCCATTAAATAACTTTGTATATATTCATAACATTATTGACCCTTCGCTAACCTCCACCCCCATTCGGTTACTGTTGCTCACTGAGACAAGCCCTACAGAACATCCCACAGAAATGAATCAGTCAACAGTGCAGATTTCAGTCAAATGTGCTCATATAAAGCAATGGAAATGTAAAAGATGTTATTCTTATATGGGCTGGAATTGTGAAATATGAACAGAATTGTTTATCATGTTCCTACAACACATGATACTGTGAATGTCGGTGTTCTTACTCATGCTCTACATGTATATTTGGGAATCAAATGCACAGATCTTCCAAACACTTATATTAAAAAAGCAGCAAAAGATTGTCTGATAATATAATGCACAGAAACAGGTACTATAGTTGCACTTTAAAGGTGGGACTTACAGAAGGGGCAGTTTTTTCTGTTGTTGAGTTCAAAGGGTTCTGGAGATTCAGTACAAGACAAAGACGAGCCTGCTGTAATCTAAGAGTTTTATGTTTAAGCCTTTAATCCTACAACAATGTCCAACAGTTCCCAAAACATGCTGCTACTTACTAAACCGCCCACCGCACAACACCAAACAGACCAATGATTCATCTTGGCTCCTAATAACAGCATTTAACACCACCAATAATTGATTACTAAGCTGTTGCAGGTGCATACAGTTGTTTCAATACAGCAAATCCGTGATTTGAACTTGCTTCAGTCTATAGACTTACCTCGTGCATTTGCTTGAGACAGTCATTCCCAGCCTTTAAACCCTCAATGACCTTTATTTCAATCTGAGCAAATTCAATATCTTGAACCTGAAATGAGGCATAATCAAAGTATAACTTATATTGCTCATGCTTCTTGTAATACCACAATATGATTAAACAAACACAAATAAATAGTCAGTTTCTTCAGTGACACATGATACTTCGTATCGTTCTAATATGCTGATTTGGTGCTCAATTAATAATAATGGTCCTTATTATTATCAATGTTTTTGCTGCTTAATATTTTTGTGGAAATGGTGATACTTTTTTTTTTCAGATTATTTGATGAACAAAAAGTACAAAAGAACAGCATTTATTTGAAATAAAAATCTTTTGTAGTAACATTAGAAACATGTTTACGGTCACTTTTGAACAATTTAATGCATCCTTGCTTAATAAAAACATAATTGTTATATTATTTTAATTATTTTTTACCCCAAACAACTGAATGGCTGTGTTTCACAGGTTCCATAAAAATAGTAAGCAGCAAAAACAGTTTTTTAACATGATCCTTCAGAAATCATTCTAATATGCTGATTTGATGCTCAAGAAATATTCCTTCTTATTATTGTTACGTGCCTCCCTAGTCTAGGGTCAGGGAATTGGTAACAATTAGTGGCTCGTTGGTCTAGGGGTAGGATTCTCATTTAGGGCGCAAGAGGTCCTGGGTTCAAATCCCGGATGAGCCCCCAATTGTTACCAGCTCTCTGATCCTACACTAGGGAGGCAAACCACATCATCTAAACCCACCATGCGCTCCAGGTTAGATATCTGGATGTCCGTCTTGTCCAGCAGCTGATCTTGGTAGCGTTTCTTTTTGAGCAGCAGAAGAGCTCGTCTGTGAAATGCATGAATCACACGTGTTAATGAATCTGTTAAACCGAAATCACTTTTTGCCATGTACGATGCAGATGGCACCACGTCAGCACAATAAAGGCACTGTGCAATGCATGATGGCTGATTCTGGGTGATCGGCTATCATGAATGTTAGCATTGCGTAATGAGTGCACTTGTATCGGTGTAATCTGAAATGTCTTACTCCTTCTTGCCATCCTTCAGGAGCTGTTTGGCCAGACATCTCTCTTTCTCCAGCTGTAATGTGATTTTCTTCTGATATTGTTTCAGTTTATCTCTCTGCTGTTTCAGTTGCTGTGATCCAGTGACAGGATGTAAAGCAGAAACATGACAGTTCAATTATAGAAACACTTCTTATTCATAAAAGTGTCAGTTCTCGACTAAGATGAACAAACATCAAAACATATCATAGTCCAGACATGGATCACCTGAAATACTGTTCCTGTGTTCTGATTAATAAGACAGCAGACTCTATAGGCGAAGATATTTCTAATGTTTCTTCTGTCATTTTGACCATGTTAACTTTTCTTATTAAAAGTGAGTATAGATATATTAAATTAACCACAGCCCATTTTGTAATTCCAGGTTAGTACTCAAGTTATTACTAACTAACTAAAATAAATAAATAAATAACATGCACTTGATATGATCCCTCTTATTTTGGTAAAATAATTAACATGTAGCAGATAATGCAAAGTGTATGTAAAATTTTGACCACAACTGTATGTTCTTTAATGAAAACAATAGTTACTGAAGAGGGCATTTCATCTTGATTTTGTGTTTTTTATTTTAATTTAAAGAATTTAATTTTTTAGACATGATATATATATGTGTGTGTGTGCGTGTATGTATGTGTGTGTGTGTGTGTGTGTGTGTGTGAATAATTGAAATACTTTTATTTTCGTTATTTTAGGGTTAAATTAATTTAGCCCTAACCACTGGTCTATAAAATAAGAGTTTATATTGTATAATATTATAAAATAAAATATAAACTGTATAATGTTATTATTATCTATTATTATTCGATTAAATATTGGTGTTTTTTAAGCTATACAATAGATACTGATGTTTTATTCTATAGATGTGATTCTATTCTATTTTACTCAATACTGTTCGGTTTCATTTTAGTCTAATACATTATGTTCTATTGCCTAATGGATGATGTGCTGTTTTATTCTAATCAATAAAAGATGTTCTGCTCTACTCTATAACAGAGTGTGTTCTGTTGTATTCTATGATAAACTGTTCTCCTCTATAATATACAGCACACTGTTCCATTGCACTATCTATTCTATATTGATATTCTATATCTATTCTATTGTGTTCCGTCTGTTCTGTAACATCCGTTCTATTCAGTTCTGTAGTATACTATAACATACTGTTCTGTTCTACAGTAGTCTATACACTGATTTCTATTCTGTGTTGTGTAAAGTAGGACAGCTGATCTAATCCGTTCGTTCGCAGTTCAGTATGGCTGAAATGGTTTCAGACGCACTACATACAGTGTGTTGGCTCTCTATATCTACAAACCCAACACACGTGCGTGTGTGAGTGTGATGTTCATTGATTGATTGATTGATTTTTCTTACCAATATCGCTCTGTCCTGATGTCACTCGACTGGTGACTCGTCCCTGCCTGCCGAAAACATTTCCCATTGCGAATCAACCACATTCCCGCCTTACTTCTAATATCACATCTCATATAAAATACCAGCTACTATTTACTTTAAAGCACATGGAAAAGATGTGGTCCGATATGTCAAGTGTAGAGCGGTGGATGGCGTGTTTCATTCAGCTGTGGCTCGCTAAGCGCATTTAGCGTCTATGGATGCAGCTGCGCCCTCTAGAGTCACTGAAGCGGCAATGCAGTAATAATGTGACTATTTTCCGCCCCCTGTCGTTCTTTTTGTGCACGTGTCTAAAAAAACATTACTAATGTTTCCAAATTAACTGAAACCTTCAGTGACATAATCAAAACACAGCCCAATATGATATGTATATTAGATATGGCTCAGGTCCCTTCAGTGTAAATATATTGCATTTTTAGTTTGAGCAATTCCAGTTGCTTAAAAAATGTAATAGTACACTTCTCTTTGACAAGCGTTTGAGGTATCATTCGTGTCAACAACACAAATGGTGCAGGACAGGGCAGGTGTCATAGTTTAATATTTCTTCAGATTTATTTTAAATTAATATTCGTTTAAATCCGTAACCCTAAGTGTGTGCAATAGTAATAGTGCTGCATGCTTTGGAGAAAAACACTAATTATCCATTTAAACATTTAAGTAATTTATTTTGAATACTTTTGACCTCTATAAAATATAATTTGGTTAAAAGATTGATTTATTTTTTTCCCACACCAAACCACATTTTCATACAGCAAGAACTGAAATTAAAATAATGTTACTATGGAAGATTGTTTCAGCCATGGGATTAAAAAAAAGCTATTTTCAACTATTTATCACACAATTCTGAGAATTGCGAGATATAAACTCATAATTCTGAGGGGGAAAAAAAGTCTAAATTGCAAGATTAAAAGTTGCAATTACAGTTTTTATTTAAAAAATTCTGAGAAAAAAAGTCAGAATTGCGGCATGTAAACTCAGAACGTGAGAATTGTGAGATAGAAAGTCAGTTACTTTTTCTCCTTTTTTTAAATTCCACGACAGAACTTGGCTTCCATTACAGAACGGATTAAGAATAATAAAAAAAGTAACTTTCAGTAAAAATTATTTATTGAATCAAATGTCACAAAAAAACATATTACATGAACAATAAAAAAAAGCACTTTTGAAATATTATGACAAATAAAGACAATAATAGTAGTAGAATTCAACATGTATAATTTAATCTAATTTTATTCTTTTTCATTCACTCATCGGGATAATAAACAGCTTCCTGTCTGCAGAGTGGTATTGTGAACCTCAATAATAATAATTTCTTTAGAAATGTCCAGGTCTATACAGTACGTCAGTCACACAAAAGAGCTTAAACTAGAAAAATAGGCTTTGCCAGCTTTGATCTAGTTTGAATACACAGGCATTCAGACAAAGATACTTTAAGAAGCTTGAACCAAACAAACAACTAGACTGTCCGTGATTTCCATATCCAAATCTACCATTGCAGAATATGATTAATATTTATCTTTGTTCTGTGCCGTGAGCCTCATAAAATTTTGTCTGAAATGAATAAGACATAACTGACTACTAAATCACATCACAGCATAGAAGTACAGTATATTTAAATAAAGGCACCAACAAAACTCCTTGTTCCTCATGCAAAACATATTGCTGTCTATTTAACCAGTACAAAAGTCAGAGAATATTAATTAAAGGCTCATAATGGAGCTCGAGGCCTTTGTGTAGTAAAATGCAACTGTTTTTTTCCCTTTCTTTATCATTTTCTTCAGCTATAATCACCATTTGCATGCCCTAAGCTAAAGTATTAATCAAAAACATTTAAGATCTTCTTCTGATTCTCAAACACCAGGCTGATTCAGTTCGCTGCTATCACAGAAAACAATTTATTAACGATCTGACGAGCCACTTACTGACGAGGTGAATAAGCGAATATTTACATGGTCAGAGCTCACCCACAAACCTCGGAGGTATCCTTTGCATTTCTAGATGAGACTTTAATGTCTGGAGAACTCCCTTTGATGCATTAAATATTTGTGCTTTAACATCCACAGGTGTCCTCCTTTGAGATGACATGAGAGATCTCCATCTACTTGACCTATTAAAGGAACGCATCTCATGTTGCTGGAGACTCCTTGAGGATGAGGAACCAGGAAACCTACATCTGGAAGTCTGTCCCGAAGTGCCTGATTTGGGCATCAGTCATAGACAGGTAGGTGGTCCTCATGCTGGGCGAATACTGCGGTTGTAAAAGAAAAATGAAGAAACAGAGATGTTAATGGGGTTCGACATTAGATACTGGCATGTGTGAAAACCACAGTCAAAAGACCCTCAAGCCCCATTCACAAACACATACAGAGATCTGCACCGAGAAAAATCACTCATTTTCAATGGGAGTTGATTTTTTTTGAGCAAAATGACCAGCCAAAGTAACTTGAACATGAAAATACTAACTTCCCAGCAGAGCTTGAAAGCAGTGTGGGTGTCAGCAAGATGGAGGAGTTACTGTGAGCAATTTCACTGCTCTATTTGATTAGTTTCTGCCCTTGTACTGGAAATAATAAAAAGAATTAAAAAAAAAAGGAATGCCTGGAAACCTCCAGAAATAAAATCACTGTATGTGTGAACAGGACTTCAGGTGAGGAAACAAGGCGAGTTGGAAAAATACTGATGAATTTTTGGCAAAAGACGACAGCTGTACAAACAGCCGTAAAAACTGCTCAGTGCTCTTACATTTTAAAGGGATATACAGAATGTTTATGGAGTGGGGAAGGAAGGAAATGAGGACAAAGAGGGCAACAGCATGTTGAAGGAAGGCAGAACCATTGTTGGGGACAGGGGTGCACTTACTGTTTCTAAATGTCTGAGGATATAACTTCAAATGTGATAAAAGACAGGAAAATAACTCAATTAGCTGTGAAATATCATTGTGACAATACAGTGTCTTGACAGTTAAAATGAAGTTGGGAATCAGTTCATTAGACCAGTGGTTCCCAACCCTGGTCCTGGAGGCACCCCAACACTGCACGTATCCTTAATCAAACACACCTGATTCAGGTCATCGGCTCATTAGTAGAGACTCCAACACCTGAAATTGGTGTCAGAGAAAGGAGACATGTAAAATGTGCAGTGTTGGGGTGCCTCCAGGACCAGGGTTGGGAGCCTCTGCATTAGACTGTGGACTGTCCTGTGATTAGTTTTACGCCTTCTGCAATGCATCAACCAACACGACTCACTAGATGATCCTCTCAAATACACCCTTTCACTTCTGATTCATCTTAGACCTCACAATCAAACTGAATAAAGACAGGACTGTTTTTAATTAATTTTCATTGATAATTTAGTATTAATAATTAATAGTAGTTTCTCCTTATTCCCTTTATAACTGCAGGGATATTTTCAACTATAAAAAGGAAACATTAGGGGGCAGTAATGCTCCATGTCTGCTTTCAGCTTCAGTTCTCCCGATCTTGTACACCACAATCACACAGAGCAACCCTCAACACAGGTTACATGAACTAAATCTTAATGGATCTGATACTTATGCCATAACATTCACCATAATTAAGAATTATGATGAATATACACTATACCATTCAAACGGTTGGGTGCGGTAAGATTTTTTTTTAATGTTTTGAAGAAAGTCTCTTATGCTCAGTAAGGCTGCATTTATTTGATCAAAAATACAATATACACAGTAAAATTGTGAATTATTATTACACTTTAAAATATCAATTTCCCATTTAAATATATTTTAAATGTAATTTATTCCTGTGATGCAAAGTTTTCAGCATCATTATTCCAGTCTTCAGTGTCACATGATCCTTCAGAAATCATTCTAATATGCTGATTTTCTGATCAAGAAACATTTCTTATTATTAGCAATGTTGAAAAGAGTTGTGCTGCTTAATATTTTTGTGGAAACTGTGATTTATTTTTTCGGGATTCTTTTATGAATAAAAAATTCAAAAGAAGAGCATTCAAATACATATTTATTTTTTTGTAGCATTATAAATGCTACATTTATATTTGTTATATTATATTATAGTTATTTTTGCTTAATTTAATAGATACTTGCTGAATAGAAGCATAATTTCATCATTAAATCGTTTCATCATAAAATATTACTGACCCAAAACCTTTGAATAGTTCAGTATAAGTGATAATTAAAAGAATAACTGACCAAAAAGTAAATATCTCTATAGTCTGCAAAAGAAAGTAAGTCATACTGGTTTGTAACAGTGCTAAAAAAAATCAGCAACTATCTCAAGATATGATACACATCGTAATGTATTAATTGGATTGCAATTTTAACTTTGCTTTATTTTGTCCAGTAAGACACGGTATGAAGTTGAGAATTTTTAGTAGTTTTAACCAGTTTACACTCATTTAGACCTTCCTCTTTAGAAATTTTAACAGAACGTACACGGAAAACAAATTCATTAAATAAATAGAATAGTAATATTATATATAATGATATATTATATATAATGATTTATACTTGTATCAGCAGAGCCCTAGTGTTGAACGACATGAGGGTTGAGTATATAGTCATTTTAATTTTTGCAACAAAACATTAACAGACCAATGGTTGATGATACAGAAACCATTAAACATACAGAAATAGAGTAAAACTGTCAGTAAATGGAAGATTGAAATCAAAATACCGATGGTGGTGGTGAACTGCTCCCAATCAACGGGACGTTTTCATAGCGAGGATTTCTTTCAAATAGCATGGACTGGTTCCTGCCGGAGAGGAAGAAAGATAAGTGGGTCAGCATGAAAGAAAACAACAGTTCTCTCTCTCTCTCTCTCTCTCTCTCTCTCTCTCTCTCAC